CTGGTGTCAGTGCTATAAAGTGAAGCATCAGCTTCAGCTTTCCCCCTGTCGTTTATCCCAGCGTTTACCCCTCACGTCACTAGCTCCGCCCTTGCGTCATAGCTCGTGACCGGAAGACAAGATGAGTCGTTTTGAGGGGGAGGGGAGGTTAACGTTTTTGATTAAAGATTACGAGAGCACATGAATTAAAAAAAAAATGAAAAAATAAAAAAAATAATGAATTACACGGATAAATTATTTATAATAAACACTACAGTATTCCATTAAAAAATAAGAATTTTCAATTTTGATTTCATGGTGACTTTAAGGTCGAGTCATTTATAAGAAGTTGTTAGTCATAAGAAATGATGACAGAAATTATAATAATTAGAGTCAATGTCAATTAAACATTTCTAATAAAAATAACAGTGATGAACTAACAAGGAAGAATTTAACTTAAAAAAAACTCATTACAACCTTAGATAATGTTAAAATCCAAGGAATGAAATTGGGTCTTAATGTTGGATGTAACAAGTGGCAATGGTATTGCAAAAAAGAGTGGGAAAAGTAGATCAGTATTGTGCTGCCTTGCTAGAACTTTAACTAGTCCTATTGACCCTTTCATTGGATTTATTTTATAACAGATTTTGCATTTTCATTTTTCGTTTTTTGTTTTGTTTCTGTGTCTACTAAGATTTAGAGCAAACCGGAAGATTAAAACCTAAATTGTATTCATATCCATATGTTGTTGCATGTTAGAGTAATGGTACACAAAAGTTCTGTGGATTTAGCTCGCCATGCTTTGATCGTATTAATGCACAGGAAGGTGTCTATCTAACAAGTGAATTGATTCAGTGCACTAATGACACTTGTCCTGAATTTGCCTCTGCAGGACAATTACATCTTCCTCACATCTCTAACCCTTGATTCAATCAGAGTTCTTCAAGATCATTATCCTTAGTTTGTAAATCATTCCCATTTTGGCTCCTAGATTGACCTGTTTTTTTTTTTTTTTTCTTGCTGCAGAAAACCAGATTCCTCATGGCTTCCCCACCATAGACATGGGCCCTCAGCTGAAAGTGGTGGAACGAACAAGAACAACTACAATGCTCTGTGCCGCCAGTGGGAACCCTGACCCAGAGATCACTTGGTTCAAGGACTTCCTGCCTGTAGACATCAACGGCAATGGGCGAATCAAACAGCTTCGTTCAGGTAAGGATGGCACACTTCCTTAGCCTTACAATCACAGTAGCAGCAACTACTGTACTAAACTTAAATAGTCACAAATATAGACAGTTCTGTTTTCACTTATGGCTTATTTTTCCACAAATGTTTTACTACAGTTTAATGAATGTCTATGCAATATTCCCACATAATAAAAACTGAAACTGGAATTATATTTGTGTAATGTCAGGTCTGCCAATTTGTCTTTGTTTACTATGGAAGGAAAATTTATTGACATGGCCATAACTTCAAATGAGTCTTAAGCCATGTGCAAATGGTCTGGGTAATTGTAGGCACCCTTACGGGAATGTGAGAATGCCGCGGAAAGGATCAACCTATCTATTTACATTGTAGACCTTCCTAATAGATAGACCGCTCAGGTCTGACCTAGGATCAGACGGATGAACAGGACTTTGCCCAGGCTGAATTAATGGCTCCTGACTGACTCAGAGTTTATCCCTCTCCACTAAATCCACTTCATTTAGAGGGCAAGTCCACATCGGAGCTTATTCTCTAGTTTCTAGCATCAGCGTCTAAGTACACAGCTTACAAATACAGAGTTGAAAGTTTGGACTGCCATCCTGAATCTCTTCGTCTTGCTTATTTCGAGGAGCTTCTTAAATTTACGTAAAGTCAAATGAACAAAATGTACTGTTCCACCAAAGATCAAAACATTGCTTCCTCAAAGATTTTATCTCTAGACGGCATGAGGTGCAAAGCTTTATGGCCCTTTCAGGACACTCATGATATAAAATTATGACAATACAGCTAGTCTTATCTGGCTTATCTGCCTGTTTTAGGCTTTAGGAGAATGGTGAATTACATGTTTGCTGTTTTACTTCTTATAGATAAGCATTTTCTGATAGACAATGGTAATGGCGACATAACCTTACCTTGTGATTTGACCGATAGTTTAAGTCAACATGAAATGGGCTCTGTTTACTTTCTTAGGTGCATAATTTATAGCTTTTCATCTGACTTCACATAGTGTGCACTAGCAGTTGATTAGCCAGTGCGTCTAAAAGTGATGCAGTGACTTTACCTGTTGATGATTGGCTCTTTTATTTAAAAGGGCGGCCTTTCATTACTAGAGCCGCTATATTGCGAGTGCACTTTCTCCCATTCATAGCATTACGAATTCATAGCATGACAGTGTTTGCCAATAGCCAAAATGCTATTTACATATTGTTTTAGGCTGCTATTGTAGTTAGCAAGAAATTAGCTTTTCTAGAAGCTAATGCTAATGGTTAACGCAAGTAATTAAATAACAAGTAATGAAATATCATTCTAATACGGCCTGCTCAACATTTTTTTTTTTTCACTTTGAAATATGTCAAATTATGGAAGTAAAACAAGTCAAATGAATTTGATGTTGACTTTAATTCACATGTACATGTACAGAATTGCTGCTAGCTGTTTCTGCAATTCTCACACCAAAAGTGTCGCCTAACTTGCCATGGTCGGTACTTTTCTGAACAATGCTGTGAACAAAAATAACCTGAATACACATTGTTTCACTAAACTCTGCAAATGTTCCTTAAAGCATCGAGTTTGGCAGGACTATCTCAGAATCGTAGCACAGAGAACGTTTGCCCTCGGATCTTTTTTCCGAGCTAATTCCATTGCACCAGACAGCCAACATTCAACTAATCCCCGGAGAGAAGTAGTCTAGCTCAACTTGATTCCTTTCTGTTTAATTAAGCCTACTTTCATTTGATTCCCTCCCTTTTGTTTTCCTTATCTCTCTTTGTCTATCTCTCTTGTCTACTAACACTTCTTTTCAATCTTGTTTGCATTCAATTTACTTCACCTAGGGGGTTCGCCGATTCGAGGTAAGCCAGCTGAAATGTGTCTCACAAAACGTCTCGTCCATTACCCGTCTCATCACCACCGCTGTCATTTCCTGCTTGTTCAGTATATACACAACCTTTGTCCCAGCATTCAACCTGTCTGTGTTCTGATGTCTATATCTGAGGGAAAGAGTACAGAAATACACTATTGTTCAAAAGTTTAGGGTCAGTAAGATTTTATTATTATTTTTTAAATAAATTATTCATTTTATTCAGCAAGGATTAATTAAATTGAACTTTCTCTTCTTCTTCAAAAACCTAAAAAACATATATCATGAGAAGCATGAAACTTCTTTCTAAACCATCTTACCGACTCCAAACTTTTGAACAGTAGTGTATGTATTCCTAAAAAAGATATGCATTATTTCTGAGCGTGTTCACTTAACAAGGTAATATAGGAATAATTATTGACAATTCTGTGATCATTTACACACCCTTATGTTGTTCCAAACCTGTGGGACACAAAATGAGATATTTTGAAGAATGTCTTTGTTGCTGTTTTACAAGCAGTAACAAATTATGTTCTGGATATTCTTCAAAATATCTTCTTTTGTGTCCCACAGAAGAACAAATCTGGAATTACCCGAGGATGAGTAAATAATGACCTCTTTGATGAGGTGAATAATGAACTCTTTGATGAGGTGAATAAAATAATTGACTCTTGCTAGTTATTATGACATGCATTTGTTGTGGATATTTTCTTAGACCCGAGGCTTATTAAAGTTTGCTATGAGTTTGGGTTTCAGGCTGAAGGCCGTCTTTAGGGTCTCCAGAGTGTGTCTTTTACATTCCATTTGGGCTGTGATGAAATTGAAATGATTTTTATATTTTTTTTTGCATACTGCTTATGCTAAAATGAGTATGTATGGGAAATGAGGGCATGGCCCTGATTGTTAAGATGGAGCGTTCGATCAGTCACACAGAATGAAACATGGATTTCAGAAACACGATTGCTAGAGGCGAGTGCTTGACAAAACCGACATTACTTCAGTTGCACGGTTAGCAATCTCAGTGGTCTGAAGACCCCTGAAGCTTTACTGTAGTCGAAAAAAGCAAAAAAAAAAAAAAAAAAAGGTGAAAAGTATTGCACGTAACAAAGGCTTGTTTGTTACTGCAGACTGTTGGAGCACGCCAGCTCACCTTAGGTTTATGAATCAGGAAGTACATCTGGCTTGCTGGAGGGGGGAGCAGGCACTGCCTTATGTTCCCAAGTGGTTACTGATTTTTACTGGCTGAATTCTCAGTGTCCGTGGGTGTGATGTTAAATTCCTCTCGTTCTCAACAGCAGGTCTTTGTTCAGTTCATCTCCCCTAACTCATATTGTTTTGTATCTCTTTATCAGTGAGGAATATGTATCATCTTCATACATTTTTTTGTCCTCATCAAGACACACAATTTGTCCCACAGTGTGTGTGTGTGTGTATGTGTTTTATTGAAAATGCATGAGGTGACATAATTCATCTCTGGTTGGAAGTGTTAAAGGGATAGATCAAAATACTGTCATCATTTAATCAACCTCATGTCGTTTTAAACGTGTATGACTTTCTTTTGTCTACAGAGCTCAAAATAAGATATTTTGAAGACAGTTTCAACTCTCCATTCAATGGAAGTAAGTCTGGTCCAAAACAATATTTATTGAATGGACAAAAACAAATCTCTTCGTTTGTGTTTTTCAGAAGAAAGAAAGTCATACAGGTTTGGAACTAAATGAGGGTTAGTCAATGATGACAGAATTTTCATTTTGGGGTGAACTATATCTTTAATTTATGATGTCATATCAAACACTTAAAAATACACTTATGATTAAAAAGGATTATACATTTTTGTCTGTAACTGTCAAAAATGTTAAACCCTTGCTTTAAAAGAAGTAAATAAAGAACAATTAATTCAAATTTAAATTCAATGAAAAATGTGAATAAAAGTGGTGATTTTCACATTCTTCATTTAGTTTAGATGGAATTTTGTATTATTTTTCTTTATTGTAGTACGTTTACTTTCTTATATGGTACTATCAGTCAGATGTTGTCATGACTGAGGGGTGTTGGCAATCAGTGCTGAGCAATCTCCGAACTGATTAGTAATTTGCTGCTTGTCAGGGTAGGAAACACCACCAATCAGTTTTCCTTGAACTTGGAGATTGGGCAAGGTTAGTGGTGCATGTTATTTTTTCCCTGCAGCACTGGGATGCTGGGAAGTAGTCAGGGGTAAAGTGAAGGTGATAACCTATACTATGGTGGTACACCACTGCCAGAGGTAAATATGTCTGTTTGCTAGATTAAGAGCCTGGCACAGTGTTTTTAAAGCAAACGCCGTATCTGTGGTTAGGACACCCCGATTGATTATTCGTTTGATGTTCATGACTGTTTCAAAGTGGATAGGTCTAAAGTATCTGCAGCATTTAATGCTGTTTCACATTATAGTGATTTGACTCCTTTTGTATACTGAAGTGATATCTTCAATTAATAAATACATAACCAGTTAAAAATGTGGACTAATTCAATTTTTTTATGTTTTTGAAAGATGTCTAATATGCTCTCCAAGGCTGCATTTATTTGATTAAAAGTGAAATATTACTACAATTTAAAATAACTATTTCTGTTTTAATATATTTTCAAATGTAGGGTCTTTAGTGTCACATGATCGTTTAGAAATTATTTGAATATGCTTTGTACACATGTTTTGTGTTCATTATTATCAGTTATTATTGGTGCTCAATTATTAATAATGGTTCTTATTATCATCAATGTTGAAAACAGTTATTTTGTGGTGTATATTTTTTCAGGATTCTTTAAACTAAAAGTTCATTGTAAATGTCTTTACTGTCACTTTTGATCAATTTAATGTGTTCTTACTGAATCATATTATTATTATTATTATTATTATTATTATTAATATTTTAAATCATTCTTACCCCAAACTTGAATGGTAGTGAATCACAAAACATTGAAATGGTTCTAAATAAGATATTTTGAAGAATGTCTTGGTTGCTGTTTTACAAAATTGTTAAATGGTTCTAGGTTTACACTATTGATAAATATTTCTTGAGCAGCAAATCAGCATATTAGAATGATTTCTGAAGGGTCATGTGACATTGAAGACTGAAGTAATGGCTGCTTTGCAATCACAGGAATAAATTACATTTTAAAATATATGAAAACAGTACTTAAATTCTAATATTTCACAATATTACTGTTTATGTTAAAACTGTTACTGTTTATTACTGTATGTGTTAAAAGACTAATCGAACATTGTTCTCATGTGACCTTATGAAGCACATTTTTTTTATCTCTAGCGACCAGACAGGCAGCGTAGTTTTGTACGGTATTGATGTTTTGTTTTTTTTGGTGGGTATAAATATGCCACAGCAGTAATAAAGTCATGTGCTGTAGCGTAATTGGCTCTGACTCAATGACATTAATATCCCGAAAGCTTTTTCTAATGACAGTGAAAGGCAAATATGTTGAGTTATAGACTCACTCAACCTGCAAAATCAGCTTTATGCATATGTCTTAGGCAGTATTCTAAGCCAATAAACTATATACACAGAGGAACAGGTCTGACATTTAAACAGGGAGTGTTTACTGATTGTCTGCAGTGAAAGTTTGCTCTTTGGTGGGGAAAGTTGCAACAGGGGATTCATAATCGTGTTCATAAATCAAAGAGGTGACTTTTACTCTTGTTTTTTTTCTTTTTCTTCAGGAGCTCTGCAGATTGAAAACAGCCAGGAATCAGACCAGGGCAAGTACGAATGTGTGGCTACGAACAGCGCCGGGACGCGCTACTCGGCCCCCGCAAATCTCTACGTGCGAGGTATGATCCGTGCTCCAGGTGCCACCCCTAGCAAAACAACTTCCTCAACCATGCTTCACACCTTTATTTTGACCATGTTGCAATTTTGTTTTGACTTCCACACGTGTTGAACTTTGTCTGACATTTCGGAGCCAGGATAAACAAAAGTTGTTGTCCAAATCATGCCAGAAACAAAACATTTCCTGCTTTGTTTTGAATTCATAGCAACGGAAGCAAAGGTAAACATGCATATTTCTCGCAGTATTTGTTGTGAGAGTGAGAAGACAAAAAGGGTTAACCAAAGGTGAGTGCCACAGAGGACACCTGCAGTATTAATACGTGGATTTAGATGTATAATGTGTTGAGGCATTGTCTGTGAAACAGAACTCTGGGAGTGCTGTTGTTATGAGTGTCAACCCCTTCAGCTCTTTCCATGCAGGTAATAACAGGGAGCTTATGGCAAGCTGCCAGTATGGCCTCCAGCTAGTGACGTTACGGTGCCACCCTGTAATTTATTATTATTATTATTATTATTATTATTATTATTATTATTATTATTATTATTATTATTATTATTATTATTATTATTATTATTATTATTATTATTATTATTATTATTATTATTATTATTATTATTATTATTATTATTATTATTATTATTATTATTATTATTATTATTATTATTATTATTATTAATATTTTAAATCATTCTTACCCCAAACTTGAATGGTAGTGAATCACAAAACATTGAAATGGTTCTAAATAAGATATTTTGAAGAATGTCTTGGTTGCTGTTTTACAAAATTGTTAAATGGTTCTAGGTTTACACTATTGATAAATATTTCTTGAGCAGCAAATCAGCATATTAGAATGATTTCTGAAGGGTCATGTGACATTGAAGACTGAAGTAATGGCTGCTTTGCAATCACAGGAATAAATTACATTTTAAAATATATGAAAACAGTACTTAAATTCTAATATTTCACAATATTACTGTTTATGTTAAAACTGTTACTGTTTATTACTGTATGTGTTAAAAGACTAATCGAACATTGTTCTCATGTGACCTTATGAAGCACATTTTTTTATCTCTAGCGACCAGACAGGCAGCGTAGTTTTGTACGGTATTGATGTTTTGTTATTTTTGGTGGGTATAAATATGCCACAGCAGTAATAAAGTCATGTGCTGTAGCGTAATTGGCTCTGACTCAATGACATTAATATCCCGAAAGCTTTTTCTAATGACAGTGAAAGGCAAATATGTTGAGTTATAGACTCACTCAACCTGCAAAATCAGCTTTATGCATATGTCTTAGGCAGTATTCTAAGCCAATAAACTATATACACAGAGGAACAGGTCTGACATTTAAACAGGGAGTGTTTACTGATTGTCTGCAGTGAAAGTTTGCTCTTTGGTGGGGAAAGTTGCAACAGGGGATTCATAATCGTGTTCATAAATCAAAGAGGTGACTTTTACTCTTGTTTTTTTTCTTTTTCTTCAGGAGCTCTGCAGATTGAAAACAGCCAGGAATCAGACCAGGGCAAGTACGAATGTGTGGCTACGAACAGCGCCGGGACGCGCTACTCGGCACCCGCAAATCTCTACGTGCGAGGTATGATCCGTGCTCCAGGTGCCACCCCTAGCAAAACAACTTCCTCAACCATGCTTCACACCTTTATTTTGACCATGTTGCAATTTTGTTTTGACTTCCACACGTGTTGAACTTTGTCTGACATTTCGGAGCCAGGATAAACAAAAGTTGTTGTCCAAATCATGCCAGAAACAAAACATTCCCTGCTTTGTTTTGAATTCATAGCAACAGAAGCAAAGGTAAACATGCATATTTCTCGCAGTATTTGTTGTGAGAGTGAGAAGACAAAAAGGGTTAACCAAAGGTGAGTGCCACAGAGGACACCTGCAGTATTAATACGTGGATTTAGATGTATAATGTGTTGAGGCATTGTCTGTGAAACAGAACTCTGGGAGTGCTGTTGTTATGAGTGTCAACCCCTTCAGCTCATGCAGGTAATAACAGGGAGCTTATGGCAGGCTGCCAGTTTGGCCTCCAGTTAGTGACGTTAAGGTGCCACCCAGTAATTGTCACGCAAGAGGTGAAGACTAAGCCTTCTCATGCTTCCTGTCAAACAAACGGCCAAAAATGTTTCATACAATAGGATTAAACTGCAGACGCCATCGTACAACTCAATCACAAGATGTTGCTATGAGTGGCATCTAAACACATTGCAAGTTAATAAAGGGGTTAAATTGTATTTTGCATAAAAATGAAGCTTGTTTTTAGGAGCATTATGCTTTGCAGCTTGACATTATTTTATGAAAATTAAACGCATTTTCTCCTAAGTTTCCCCTAATGCATCCTGATGTTTTTTTTTAATGTCATTATTCTCATTGATTCGATTCTCATGTCATGTAGTCATTTTTACTTTATTTAAATCTTAAAGTAAAATCTTAAATTAAAAGCCATAAAAATACCATGTGATTTATAAATATTTTGCAAATTATTATTTTGCATTTGATATTTTAAATTATTTATTAAATATTACTGTATTTATAAATATTTTGTTGTTTAGATTACATATTGTTTTTTTATTATTATTTATTAAATTCTGCCTGATTCATAATACTTTGTAGTTTAAATGATAAATGTTTTCTTGCCGTTTTTGTTTTGCCCATTATTTATAGTACATTACAGTTTGATTTGTGCCTAATTGTCATGGAATTTATGTCACAATTCAAATCCTAATATTCTTAAAAATCAGCTTTTCTTTTTACAAAATATTATTTTCTTGCTATTCTCTTTTCATTTTCTGGTAAAATATGATCTGCACATGTTCTTAACAGGCTTGTTGTCTATGGAATTCAATGAATATTTAAAATTTATTATTATTATTATTTTTTTTTTATCGGTCTGTATGACCCTACTTTTCACTACAAAAAAAGTGAACGTGTGCAGCCAAAATAACAATAATAAAAACAGGAACTTTTGGAGCTAGATCAAACAGCTAACTTCCTCAGAGTTGACAGGTGCATAATGGGTCGCCTTTATCCATCTGTCCATCACAGCCTGGGTGTGGCTGCTTGTTTTTCAAAGTGTCTCTGTAAAACGGCTAATCATGCTTTCTCTTCAAGGGCGTTCAGCATAGCGTCCTGGTACCATTCCTCAGCCTCCCGTCCCCGCTCATTTATCTGCTCACACTAGATGAGTTGGGTGTCTAAGACTGCCGGCCTGTCAGTGGATCTATGTATTCAATAGCTGCTTCCTTTTTCCTTGGCCTCATCACTTTTCTGGGAGCTGTCTAAATGCTCTATGACTGTCTCTGTCTCTCGTTCTCCCGCTCTGTCCGTCTGTCTGACAGAGGACTATATCACCTGGGAGAATCACAGTCATGTATACCGGCAGTATATGTGAATGCTCATTTGTCAGCCGCTTATTCCATAGTGAAAAGTTGTCAAACACTGTCTGCTCTGCTTCCTCTGCTCCTGAAACTGACAACAAATCAAATAGAGTGGGCACACACTTCATACCCACCTGTCTGTTTATTATATCTTGTGTGAATGTGTGTGTGGGGGTCCGTTTACCTTTGTTTAATATTTAAGGAAGATGATTTTTAATATCTCTAATGCCTGTCACTCAGCTAGTTTTGTATTGTAGCGTTACATTGGCAGTCCTAGCAAGCCTTAGCTGACATCATCATCTTTCATGTGTCAATGTGTGGAAGAATTTGGCCCAGGGCTCTTTTAGAGGACCTCAGTGGGTCTCTCTACCTCACTGGAGATATGGTTATGTATGCTCACATGCATACAGAGACAGCTATCAGAAAATGTTCAATCATTCTGAGTTGTGTGTATAGCAGTAATGTTACTACTCCAACATATGTTAGGAAAATTCTAATAATATGTCAGTTATTCTGTGCTGTTCCGATTGTTGGACTTTTTTGTGGATGTCTGTTAAAACAAAAAATAAAAGTTAATTTTGACTATTACTTAATAGTTCACATCTGAGACTGTATTTCTAACTATTGCAACTTCATTTCTCGTAAATTGTGACTTTAAGTCTCACAAAATGGACTTTATGTCTCAGTGACTTTATTTCTCATTATGTGGCTAAATTTCTTATTTTAAACTTTTTTACAATTAATGCTTTTATTTTTTTACTGTGAGGTATAAACGGGCTCCCATACAGTATTTGTGCCACAAAAGTCTGGTGTTAATAAGAATAATGAGAAAAATAATGAGAGGGACAACCATCACATCTGAGACTGTATTTCTAACTATTGCAACTTCATTTCTCGTAAATTGTGACTTTAAGTCTCACAAAATGGACTTTATGTCTCAGTGACTTTATTTCTCATTATGTGGCTAAATTTCTTATTTTAAACTTTTTTTACAATTAATGCTTTTATTTTTTTTACTGTGAGGTATAAACGGGCTCCCATACAGTATTTGTGCCACAAAAGTCTGGTGTTAATAAGAATCTCTGAAAAAAATAATGAGAGGGACAACCACTTTCTGTAACCTAACTGACTTCCTTAAATTAATATCTGTCATTAACCTGTATTAATGTGATTGGGTTTTTCCTTTCACATTTATCTTATAATAGGCTTGTATTTACCTTTAGCATTGTAAACCTACAATATCTATGAGATATATGGTACAGTATATACAAATCTTTTTCAAATGGAGTGTCGTGATTTGAGTGTGTCTCTCGGTCTTTGTTAGAGTTTCCATTGCATTTTTCTAACCGCCGTGAAATTATTCACAAATGTGTTTTCATGTTCTTTTGTCTCCCATTTGTCTCTGTCTTTCAACTTCATCTCCATATCACTTGGTCCAACTTGCACCTCATGTCTTAGACCCTCGTGGAGGTTGGTTCTTTTCACTCTTAACTGCTTCTTGCAGTCCTCAACCTGGATCCCTCTTTAATCAGAGACCCTTGTTATCAATCACTCCCTCTGCTATGTCGCCCCCTCACTTATGTGTTCAGGCTTAATGTGTCGTGTCAGGTGGTTTGCATGAGCTTGATAGTCCATGACGTAGGGGCTGTTTTCATAGATTACACCTGGTGCTGGATTAAAACGGATAGCAATGTTATTTAATCCAAACTAGTTTTAATCTGTGTAAAACATCAAAACAACATATAAATAATAATTTATAATAATAGTTTTATTATTTTAATTATTTCCTTTAATTATTTAATTTCATTTAATTTAAAACCTCTTTTTTGTCATGTTTATCTAACAGTTTTTTTGTTTAATCTCACAATGCATGTATGTTAGCAACTCCTATAACCTAACTGACTCCCTTACATTAATACCATTAACCTGTATCAATGTGAGTGTGTTCTCTATAGACATTGAATAATAAATTGCATACATTTATTTTACGTTTATCTTATAATAGGCATGTATTTACCTTTAACATAGTAAACCTACAGTATATATCAGGGGTGTCAAACTCAATTCCTGGAGGGCCGGAGCCCTGCAGAGTTTTATTCCAAACCTGCTCCAACACACATACCATGTAGTTTTCAAATAAGCCTGAAGGACTTGATAAGTTGGATCAGGTGTGTTTAATTAGGGTTGAATCTGAGCTCTGCAGGTCTCCGGCCCTCCAGGAATTGAGTTTGACACCCCTGGTATATGATATATGGTAGAATATACACAAATCTTTTTTTAAACAGAGTGTTGTGATTTGATTGTGTCTCTGTCTTTGTTATAGACTCCATTGCATTTTTCTAACTGCTATGAAATTATTCATAAATGTCTTTCATGTTCTCTTGTCTCCCATTTGTCTGTCTTTCAATTTCATCTCCATCATATAACCTGCTCGAACTCTCACCTCATATAGCAATCCCTCGAGGAGGTTGGTTCTTTTCACTCTTAGCCACGTCTTGCAGACCTCAAACTGGATCCCTCTTTAATCGAGACCCTTGTTATCAATCTTACTCCCTCTACTATAGCAATGTTAGAAATGTTATTTAGTCCAAACTAGTTGTAATCTGTTTAAAACATCTCGCTTAATATATCAGGGGTGTCAAACTCAATTCCTGGAGGGCCGGAGCCCTGCAGAGTTTTATTCCAAACCTGCTCCAACACACATACCATGTAGTTTTCAAATAAGCCTGAAGGACTTGATAAGTTGGATCAGGTGTGTTTAATTAGGGTTGAATCTGAGCTCTGCAGGTCTCCGGCCCTCCAGGAATTGAGTTTGACACCCCTGGTATATGATATATGGTAGAATATACACAAATCTTTTTTTAAACAGAGTGTTGTGATTTGATTGTGTCTCTGTCTTTGTTATAGACTCCATTGCATTTTTCTAACTGCTATGAAATTATTCATAAATGTCTTTCATGTTCTCTTGTCTCCCATTTGTCTGTCTTTCAATTTCATCTCCATCATATAACCTGCTCGAACTCTCACCTCATATAGCAATCCCTCGAGGAGGTTGGTTCTTTTCACTCTTAGCCACGTCTTGCAGACCTCAAACTGGATCCCTCTTTAATCGAGACCCTTGTTATCAATCTTACTCCCTCTACTATAGCAATGTTAGAAATGTTATTTAGTCCAAACTAGTTGTAATCTGTTTAAAACATCTCGCTTAAATTTTTACAAACAATGATTTATAATAATATTTGTTAATGATAATATCTGTTTAATTTAATTTAAAATTTAATTTAATTTAAAGTGTCACATTATCCTACAGAAATCATTCTAATATGCTGATTTGGTGCTCAAGGAACATTTCTTATTATTGTCAGTGTTACAAATTCAGGTTATGCTGCTTAATTTTTTTGGATTCTTTGATGAACAAAAAGTGTGAAGAACAGCATTTATTTCAAATGGAAATCTTTTGTAACGTTATAAATGTCTTTTCTGTCACAATGAACATGCAGTGATACAAATCTAACTTTTTCAAATGGAGTGTCATGATTAGATTGTGTCTCTCTGTCTTTATTAGACATTCCATTGCATTTTTCTAACTGCCATAAAACTATTTACAAATCTGTTTTCGTGTTCTCTTGTCTCCCATTTGTCTCTGTCTTTCAATTTCATCTCCATATCACTTGGTCAAACTCACACCTCATGTCTTAGACCCTCGAGAAGGTTGGTCCTTTTCACTCTTAACTGCTTCTTGCAGAGCTCAAACTGGATCCCTCTTTAATCAGAGACCCTTGTTATCAATCACTCCCTCTGCTATGTCGCCCCTCACCTATGTGTTCAGGCTTAATGTGTCGTGTCAGGTGACTTGCATGAGCTTGATAGTCCATGAAGTGGGGGCTGCTCTAAAACTAAAAGAAATAGCAATGTGATTTGGTCCAAACAAGTTTTAATTTGTTTAAATAATTTAATTTAATTTAATTTAATACCTCTTTTTTGTCAGGTTCAAGTGTCCGTTTTATTCCACAATGCATGTATGGTTTTGCTCATGAATAGAAACTCTTTCAACCAACCTGCTCCCTGTTACCTGAAGTTTTATATTAGAAATATCACCATTTTACTTCTGTTGTATTACCCACACTGACTTTCCATTCTTTTACTACAAATCATCGCCACCGTATGCCCATGTCCATAGTCACGGTTTGTCAGTGTCACAGAGTTCCCTGGAAATCAATAAAGTGAATATTTATATTTCTTAGACATGCTATTGCTACTGTAATTTCTTTGCAACAGCGGACTTGAAGTACTTTGAATTTCACATTGCCTAATTCAAAGAAAAAATGCTCAAGACTCTATCGTTTTGCCTTTACAGTGCAAACATAATGAGGAGAATAACAAGCTTGGTCGCGGTGTGTATCTGAAAATAAAATGAGAGAGCATAGTCGAGAATCCAATTTCAGGAGGACCTGTGCAAAAACCAATTATTGCCTATGCCATTTCTCCATAGACATACATGAGGCAGTGGGTCATTAACACAAATTGGAAGAGTCTGTTTAATGTGCTGCTGTTTTATACTCCTATTTTGGGAGAACAGGAGAGAAAAGTCTCTCCAGTTTGTGCTTCTTGTAAATAGTTCAGCATTAGCATCCTCAGTGATGGCCACCAGCTACGATTCTGAGCACTGCACAATAGAGACTGAAACACATCCTAGTATTTGCATTGATAACAGAGTACCGTTTAAAAACGTTGATGTTTCTCTTGTGCTGATCCTTGTGAATTAGTTCCTCATACACCATGTGCTTGGCCTCGTGCAGTCGAGTAAGTTAATGTCAAGGCAAGTTTGAATTCCGTTCAGACTCCACATTGATAGTTCGCCTCTCTCCTCCCCATCTCTGCACAGTGTCAGCAGGCTCCTTTTGGTCTCCATGGGAACCTCTTTTAATGTCAGGTTTATCTGCATATCAGAGGCTCACAAAGAGAAGGGCCCAGTGAACAATGCATCTCCCACAAGGTCTCGGACAGGTTCCCGAATCCAGGCAGGACTGAGCAACAACAGACCAGGGTCTCAGTGCCACCGGGCGATAAACTTACAGAGAAAACTCACATCCTGCAATGCCTCAGCGAGGATGTTTTTTCTTCTTCTTCTCAAATCCACAATTCAATAAAGCTCCCCTTTGGCATGAATTTTAATGTCTCACTCTATAAGAAATACCATTACGATGCCTTCTTCACCCTTCCCCCAGCACATATTGGTTTATCGCCCTCTTCTGCACATATGTATGAGCCACAGTTTTGACTTCCTGCCTCCAGTTGTTAAGCTTCAGGCTTTAACAAATGGAAAAAGTGACAGCTCTGCCCTTAAAACAAATTTGTTTGACCTGTCAGCACAACTTCATGTTAGTTTGTTCATGTTAGTGACATAGCCCTAGTAATCAAACTAGAGATGTAGTAATCACAATAGATTTCCCTGTATATGGTCTTTTCCAAACGGTTTTTGTATCAAAAGTTGACATAAGACTACAAAATACTACCTGTTGAAACTCACCCTGGATGTTCTTCTCTCTGGTAGTACGGCGAGTGCCGCCCCGTTTCTCTATCCCACCTACCAATCACGAGGTGATGCCAGGGGGCAGTGTCAACCTCACCTGTGTGGCGGTAGGTGCCCCCATGCCCTATGTCAAATGGATGGCTGGTGAGGTGGAGCTCACCAAGGACGAGGAGATGCCCGTGGGACGCAATGTCCTGGAGCTCACCAACATCCGTCAGTCGACCAACTACACCTGTGTGGCTATTTCATCTCTCGGTATGATCGAGGCAACCGCACAAGTTTCTGTCAAAGGTAAGATCCCTGAACGAGTGATCTCTCCACTAAAAAATTATTTTGCCTGAAATAATAATTTGCATTAAAGGCCCAGGTATACTTGGTGCATTGAGCATGCAAACCATTAAAAGTACACTCAATTGATATGACTGATGCGTTCAGCATGTGTACTTCCTGCAGTAGTAGATCTTTGTTTTTGATCTTTAGTTGATCTTTGTTTTGAGCCGGAGCAGAATGTGTACAAGGGAAGTGTACTTTAGGTTTTAGACCAGGTATGTGTATTAAGAACATAAATTGGTTCAGTTCTGTAGATTTTCTGTAGGTTTAAAGATTCTGTAGACACTCTTATTTTACCCAAGACTCTGAACAGGTTGTCAGAGACTAGAAAAAGTTCTGTTCTAACTGCAACCCTAAGGTTCTGACCAGCTGTTTGGTACGTCTGGCAAATACACACAATGAAAAAACATGGACACTCGCTCTGTGTTGACTGAGCTTTAGGGACTTCCCACGTTTTACTGTGGGATCTGAGAAAATGAAAGGCTTTAGATTATTCTGAGCATGTGTTTACCCAGACCAGATGTCTGGAGCTGTATCAGTGCAGCTGGTCCCACCAGACAACGCCGAGTCCTGCCAGACTTCGTTCCTCGTCATCATGGCTGCCTCTATTGATTGCACTTTGCACTTCACCAATCAATATGGACTCGGAGAATGTCACCGACATTTGTCTGGAGTCCAGCCACAAATCTTAAAGACACAATGACGAGGCGGCACGGGCTGCCTTTCTGTGAATCACCAATTCTAACACAAGCCTGTCTTCTTTCTCATTCTGTCTTACATTGCCTGTCTTTCTCTATTTTAGGAGTGCGCCGAGTAGGCAGCTTAGCCTACATACGCTGTCATCTGTTTAATTTCCTTTCTTATTGTTTGCTCCTCAGCTCTCCCAAAGCCTCCTACGTCTCTAATTGTGACGGAAACCACAGCTACCAGTGTTACACTGACATGGGATTCTGGAAACCCTGAACCTGTGTCTTACTACATTATCCAGTACCGGGCCAAGACCTCGGACTCCAACTTCCAGGAAGTGGATGGTGTTGCCACCACACGTTATAGCATCGGTGGTCTCAGCCCTTATTCCGAGTATGAGTTCCGCGTCATGGCGGTCAACAACATTGGCCGTGGTCCACCCAGCGACCCAGTTGAGACACGGACGGGTGAGCAAGCACCTTCCTCCCCACCACTGCATGTCCAGGCACGTATGCTGAGTGCCAGCACCATGTTGGTGCAGTGGGAACCGCCGGAGGAACCTAATGGTCAGATTAGAGGCTATCGCATCTACTACACATCTGACCTGGACGCGCCTCTCAGTGCCTGGCAGAAACACAACACGGACGACAGCCGTCTCACCACCATCTCGAACCTGACCCCCGACATCACCTACAGCCTGCGTGTGTTGGGCTTTACATCTGTAGGGGACGGACCCCCATCTGATGTGTTGCAGGTCAAGACACAACAAGGAGGTAATTTTTGGCGTTAATGAATAAATACATTGATGCTTTTACATAGGGCTGGGTAAAAAATATATTTTTTGCTGATCAGTCATGATGTCGCATGCAATAATATGTTGCATGATCAGTGTAGTCTGATTCATTAACAAGGGACTCGTATGAACTGGTTCTTTTTAGTGAATCAAAAACATACAGTATAGTGTGACCATTATAGTCTGACTCATGAACAAATTACTCTCAATAATAGGTTATTTTTTGTGAATTCAGTCAAACTACGCAACCACTTCTGGTTATGAAATATATTAACATATTATAGGATAGATGGATTGGGCCCTGTAGTTTTTTTTTGTTTGTTTTTTTCATATTTTTGTAATATACCAATTTTTTTCAAAGTTTCTTCATATAATTTACAGCAAAAGCTTGGAGAGAATTTTTTTAGAAGCAAAATTGACATTAAAATGTACCGTAATGCATCAGAATCATAATGAAATTGATTTGAATTGGAATCTAATTGAATCAGGAAATGTGTATCAATACCCAACCCTAATTTTGCATAGTGCATTTTCATTTCAGTACCATAAAAATACTTGTGCATCTGTTGTCGCTAACATCTCTTCATCTGTTGAATTTCAAGTACCTGCTCAGCCTTCCAACTTTGAGGCTGAAGCAGAGCTGGATACGCGGATCCAGCTAACTTGGCTGTGGCCAGTTCAGGACCCCATCATCAAATATGAGCTGCTATATTGGGAGGCTGACTCAAAGAACAAGGTATCACGCCAGTGCTTGTTTCTGCCTGATTCATTCAGAATTACAAGCAGACCAGATATTGAACGTGTGCAGCTGTTGCTGTGGGCCATGGATACAAATGAAAGATAGCCGAAATTGACATTTCACAAAATGACTGCAGGCGAAAGTCTGCAGTCAGTTGATACAATTAGATTGTACAAAAACAGAATGTACTTATCAATGCTCAGTGCTTGACAGCATTTCTACTTGATGCCAGAATGGGCTGTTTGGATGTGTTTTCTTGATGTCAGTTCATCCACATTGAGATCAGATGTCTTATGCACACTCATCGTGATAGCCACCAGTGTGTCTGTATGCTTATAAAGTACTTCTCAGTTTTTTAGTGAAAAACTTCTTTGCCCACCCCATTCATCTTAAAATGAATAATGAGAAAAATGTATGTAGATTTATTCATTTAGCTGATACGTACTGAGAAAAAAATAGCAGCCTACAATATTAGCTGTTAAAAGTTTGCTGATAAATAATACTGAAATAATAATACTGAAAACTGCATGTTCTGTCAGTTGTCACATTTCTGTTGAATAATGTAAATTCATACTTTGTGAAAACGTACTGAAATGTAAGCCATTATTTACTCAAAATCTCTCTCTTCCTACGATCTGGTGCGCACACATAAGTGCAGTGCAGTAGGCATGTTTAACAACATATAAGGAGAACAGAGCGGAGTTCTTGAGTTTATTGTGATTGCGGTAGATTTGAATTTTTAAAGTGATGCTTAGACTTGACAACTACATTTTCCACTGCCCACTTAAAATACAGCTCCATGACCACTGTGTTAAAGTCTTGATGAAACAGAAGTAGCGACAGATCTTTTCTTCTGTATTGTGAAACGGATTGTTGAAGAAAAATGTTGAGCAGGACTGGGTTTTATCCAATGATTGTTGATTGGATAGAGACCGATCTGAATGCAAGCTTGCAGTCGATTGTAAGAAAGGGTCGGCTTTAAGCTGGCTAAATGATTGGAGAAGCCTGACACATGTCTGATGAAGTCTGTCGTTTCACCAGAAGATTGAGTTATGTTAATTAAAAATGACAAGGTCAAAAAATAAAAAGCATATGCATGGATGAATTGTTCACAATAAGGTCAATAACATGCCATTATAAAACAGACAGTGAATTTTCATTTAATTCTGACTTTAAAATAAACATACGGAAGTTCTAAATGGCCATGCATTATTATAATTTTTTTCTTTCTTGTTTTCTCGTGATCACGACTTAATTTTCTCGTGATCTCGACATGACATGAATTGTTTTCTCGTGATCACGACTTAATTTTCTCGACATAACAAAAGTTTTCTCGTTATCACGACTTAATTTTCTTGTGATTTCGACATAACAAAAGTGGTTCTTTTAACAATGATTGTTTGATTTTTAAAACACAATGCATCGTGAGTCTACTGTTGCTATAGTAACGAACGCAACCTTGACGGGGACATTCTTAACCTGGCTTAATGCGTTAATTGAGAGTGTTTTTGAAAAACCAAACTCAGTGTACACATTATTAGTAATTAATTCTATGTACAGACAAGCATATGAGCCTATAATAAGAACGCAATGCGTTTAATTCCGCGTTAATCGTTTTCCTCCCATAGAATACCTACTGTACGGACAACACTTAACGTGGCTTCATGCGTTAAGGCAGGGTTTTTAAAATACCAAACTCAGTTATGTTAATTAAAAATGACAAGGTCAAAAAAAAGCATATTCATGAATGAATTGTTCACAATAAGGTCAATAACATGCCATTATAAAACAGACAGTGAATTTTCATTTAATTCTGACTTTAAAATAAACATACGGAAGTTCTAAATGGCCATGCATTATTATAATTTTTTTCTTTCTTGTTTTCTCGTGATCACGACTTAATTTTCTCGTGATCTCGACATGACATGAATTGTTTTCTCGTGATCACGACTTAATTTTCTCGACATAACAAAAGTTTTCTCGTTATCACGACTTAATTTTCTTGTGATTTCGACATAACAAAAGTGGTTCTTTTAACAATGATTGTTTGATTTTTAAAACACAATGCATCGTGAGTCTACTGTTGCTATAGTAACGAACGCAACCTTGACGGGGACATTCTTAACCTGGCTTAATGCGTTAATTGAGAGTGTTTTTGAAAAACCAAACTCAGTGTACACATTATTAGTAATTAATTCTATGTACAGACAAGCATATGAGCCTATAATAAGAACGCAATGCGTTTAATTCCGCGTTAATCGTTTTCCTCCCATAGAATACCTACTGTACGGACAACACTTAACGTGGCTTCATGCGTTAAGGCAGGGTTTTTAAAATACCAAACTCAGTAAACACATCATTAATAAAGCATTCTCTGTACCGACAAGCAAATGAGCCCATAATAAGAACGTGATGCGTTTAACACGTTAAGCGTTTCAAAAACCGTTATAAGACGTTATGTTCGCATCCTGGACTCATCTTCTTGTCTGTACATAGCCTATTATAATTTACTAATAATGTGTTTAATGAGTTTGGTCTTTTAAAAACCCTCTCTAAACGCATTAAGCAACATTAAGCATTTTACAATGCCCCCTTTGAGGCGCAAATGATCGACAGATAATAGGCCTACTGTATCTTGTATTTCAGCAAATGTTGCTTCACTTAGAAATAACGTGATTTTGTCCAGAGTTAGGCTACGCTACACATTGCATTTGTGTAATTAACATTAAATGGTCTGACAACAAATTGCATTCACCGCAAGCGCAGGCGGAGCGCCTTCAAAAGAATGCAGAGAAGAAGCCTATTCTAAAAATCTTCAGCTGCTTGGATTCAACTCACTTTATTTTCCTCGTTCGTTTGAAATAAAATTAAGCTATATATAATAATAAATTATAATAATTTGTTTGTGATTTTTATTAGTCATGTAGGATAGGCTGTGATGTGAGTTACAAGCTTGAGATGCTGTTATGTGTGTTCGGTTTACAAAGAAATGTAGAAAATATAAAAGATTAGGCCACAACACTGTATAACATCATTGAACTAAATTATACACATATGTAAATCACATTTCTTATTAATATACATTTATTAACGATAAAGATTAAAAATAAGAAAGATGCACATTACAAGCCTACGTCGTTGTAAATTAGTAACTGTGATGAGTCGTGCAGCAGTAATAACGTAGGATAACAGATACAATTTCAAGCAAAATGATCCGTTCGTTTGAAATAAAATTAAGCTATATATAATAATAAATTATAATAATTTGTTTGTGATTTTTATTAGTCATGTAGGATAGGCTGTGATGTGAGTTACAAGCTTGAGATGCTGTTATGTGTGTTCGGTTTACAAAGAAATGTAGAAAATATAAAAGATTAGGCCACAACACTGTATAACATCATTGAACTAAATTATACACATATGTAAATCACATTTCTTATTAATATACATTTATTAACGATAAAGATTAAAAATAAGAAAGATGCACATTACAAGCCTACGTCGTTGTAAATTAGTAACTGTGATGAGTCGTGCAGCAGTAATAACGTAGGATAACAGATACAATTTCAAGCAAAATGATCATATTTATTCAAGCATTTAACATTTATAAGTTAATTAAATGTCAGCAATGAACTGCACAAATTATAGCGATCAGGAAAAAGGTCCATTGTCCCAATCACGTACAGTATAGTGGATATTGTATACAACTCCCCATCAATAGTTCTATGCTGCCACCTGTTGGTGCAGTTGTGTAACTTAGAGAACAACTTTTGTTATGTCGAGATCACAAGAAAATTAAGTCGTGATCACGAGAAAACAACTTTTGTTTATGTCGAGATCACGAGAAAAATAAGTCATGATCACAAGAAAACAACTTTTGTTATGTCGAGATCATGAGAAAACAGCTTTTGTTATGTCGAGATCACGAGAAAAATAAGTTGTGATCACGAGAAAACAACTTTTGTTATGTCGAGATCACAAGAAAATTAAGTCGTGATCATGAGAAAACAACTTTTGTTGTCGAGATCACGAGAAAAATAAGTCGTGATCATGAGAAAACAACTTTTGTTATGTCGAGATCATGAGAAACCAACTTTTGTTGTCGAGATCACGAGAAAAATAAGTTGTGATCACGAGAAAACAACTTTTGTTATGTCGAGATCACGAGAAAAATAAGTCGTGATAACGAGAAAACAACTCGTTATGTCTAGATCACGAGAAAAATAAGTCGTGATCACGAGAAAACAAGAAGGAAAAAAATAATAATGCATGGCCGCTTAAAACTTCCGTATAAACATGTCTACAAGGACAAGTAAAGAGATTGTTACGTATATGAACATAACATAGTGGCGGAGGCAAGCACAGGCTCGTTTTAAAAGGGGAATATTTATTAAAGAGTTAATTTGAACAAAAGAGAGAGGAAGAATCACAACAAAACTGCCGATCCCTGGTCTAATTTTCCTCTGGATGCCAGCAAAAGTCCCGCAACTGCTTCCAGCGTCACAACAGTATTTATACCGCTCAGCTCATAAGGAACACAGGTGTATGAAATCGGCACCTAATAAACGAAGACAAATAAGAAAACTCTCGGCCACTAGGGGGCAGCCGTATCAGTACAAGCCATTACTTGTGAACAGAACAAAATTACATGCATATGTAACAGAGATGGAGAGATGGTTATGGAGTTTTTTATGTTTCCTCTTCAGATCCATGTCACCTTCGACCCTGCCGGCTCATACGCTGTTGAAGGTCTGAAGCCGGACACTCTGTATAAATTCTCCTTGGCGGCCCGCTCTGAAATGGGGCTAGGGGTCTTTACTCAACCCATTGAAGCCAGGACCGCCCAGTCCAGTAAGTGTCCTCTTTTTTTTTCATCTTCATCATGTCAACTAACCTAGACTTGTCCCTATGGACAAACCAGAGGACCTCTTTTCCCTTCCTTTCTCAAGCTATTGTCTACAGTCTCCACCATTAATTATCTTACACCTCTAAGCCAGGGAATACCTTTATACATTGACAAGGGCAAAAGGTACGTTCGGTGTCTGCTTGTGCCTTTGTCATCATTATTTTGGTTTATAGGCTATCAATGTGATTTGTTATTGCTGCAATGTTAAAAGCCAGAGAAGTGAAGCCTACTCAAGTTGAAGCACTACATTTGTGCTAAATTTAACGCTCTGCTTGCATATAACCTAACCTTTCTCACTTGCACCCACATATCAAAAGACAATGTTCAGAGAATATATAACCAAATTTACAGTCATGTCACAGTATCAGAGTACTTCCTTTCCCCCTGAGTCTCTCACAGCCTCATGTTCTCCTAGAGACCTGTCTATCACCTCCTCCAGGACTCAAAAAGACCCTTTGATCTTTGAGTTTTGTGTCAGGACCCCCCCACCC